CGCCGCTCCCCAGTGCTTCCCCGTCGCCCCCGCCGCGCGCCCCTCGCCTCTTCGCCCGTCCCTCCTCACCCCGCTCTACAATTTTTCGATCTGGCACTGCCCGAGTGGTGAAATGGACTAGAGCGTGCTCGGAATTTTGTAGGTACGGAACTACTCGCCCCGCGGATTAGACGGGAAACGCACAGATCATACCTGCATATGTGTCCGCGGTCCGTCGTATTTGCCGAATTCCGTTGGTGGGAGCATAGGTCCTCCCCCGTGGACTGTTCCAGGAACGATCCTGTACATGGCTAGGCCAAAATCGCCCTGTTTTTCCTTTTCATTTTATTACTGCATCCGTGATCTGGTAGTGTCGCCTGGAGTACATTAGATGTGTATATCCAGCGGCAGAACAGGTGATGGATGATGAATGTGGAGGGAGCCAACAGTTGAATTACTGCGGCTGAATTCAGCATCCAAAACTACTCTGCCATCGGCGTTTTTTTTCTTCTTTTTTTTTTCTGAAACCCTGAAAACAGCACGCAAGAAAATATGCTGCATGGTTAAAAGAGCCATGGAACGACAGGCTGTACGCTGTGGAGCATAGTGTATCGGCATCGTGTTTGCAGTGATCAGCTCAAGCGCTCAGTCATGTGGTTTGTGGCTCTACTAACCATGTTTTTTTTTTTGTTTCTCTGCATCATTCTGTTTTTTCTTAAACAATCATATCATGTTAAAGTATTTTGAATACTGAATTACTTGGTATTTATTCAAGTGTTTGCTACCGTTTGCTGCTCAACAGTCAGTTGGTTGGAAATTAGGCCTTCTTTTAGTTTCACACTCGAGCATTATCGGCACAAGTTTAGAGATGTACATGCCATGTCTGGCCCCTAGGCTGGCTGCATTTCCTCACTGCTGAAATCTGTACATTTCTATACTGTTCTGACTTGATCGTTGGCCTATGTTGGAAGGATCGCTCATATGTCAACTTCATACCAAGTTAAATATTATGCGCAATTTGTCCTTTAATTTACAAGCTACTAACGGATGTGTCCATTCCTGTTTCAGATTGGCAGGAATCACCGGTTCAGGCATTTTTGGTGGACAATCATCATTTGATCCTGAGTGCTGACTCGCTTTTCTGTTCTCATCAATGTCTGGCTTGCTGAATGTACTTGCTTATCCTTGTAACTGTACTACCATGCATTTACTATGTTTACTGCCAATCTTAACAGTTCACTATGTTTTGTTATTATTTGTCTTGATAACTTGATGCTTTCTTCCTTGGCAGTCAAATCTTAACAGTTCTGCATCGAATCTTCCAGACTCAACTGCACGACCATTTGCGACATCCTTTTCTGGTCAATCTGGATCAGTTCAAGGTTTCCATCACTCTGGTGAGCATATGGTACGCTAGCTAGGCTAGCCCATTGACATAGTGCAACATCCATTGTGTACACCTTTTTTATCTCTTATCATTTTCTGCATTTTTCAGGTCTGCGCAACACTCATGGAAATTTCAGTCTTCCAAATATGCCTGGATCACTTGCACAAAGGAATGCTGCGATGAGCGGCCTTCCATCCTCCGGGGTTCAACAACATGGAGGGAGCATTTCTGGGAGATTTGCTTCAAACAACCTTCCAGTTGCCATGTCTCAGGTTTGAATGCCCACCTTTATGGAGGTTTGCAATATTTTTATTTTTATACTTTGAACAGCACGAACATGCATGTTAATGGGTTTGCAATCTAAGGAACAATTTTGTTGGGTTAAATACAACATATTCTTGCCGTGGTTTCATGTGGAGGATGATGATTTTTACTGTTTTGGTATTATATTGTTTCTTTTGCAGATTCCTCATGCACATTCAGGTGTCAGTGGTAGAGGAATGAATGTTGGTGGAGGTCAAGCATTTAGTAGTGGCATGAATATGGGTGGTACCATTCAAGGTTTATACTCAAATTTGGGGATCAGTGGGAATCGAAATTCTGTTCCTGGCATGTCAGTATCTCCAGCTTTAGGAAACTTGGGTCAACGTATTACAAGCTCCGCAGGAAACATCGTGGGTGGAAGTAACATCGGAAGAAATATAAGCTCTGGTGGATTGTCGGTGCCGAGTATCTCATCGCGCGTCGATTTTAGTAACAATGCTGGAAGTGGAAGACTAAATGTGCAAGGATCCAACAGGATGATGAATGACCTTATTCCGCAAGGTAGTTTATTTAACCATCAGTTGGTTTTTTTACTTCATAAATTTACGCTAAGCTTCATGTTTTAGCTCGAAATAATATTTTTAAGCATGTTTAACCATTGCTATGTTAATACTCTGTTCAGAGTTTACTTACCATATCCTTTGCTTTGAGCTGTATCCTCACCCCTTGACTTTCTTACAAAAAAAGGTTGGGCATATGAAATAACTGGTCAGCATATGATATAGGTTTCATTGGACCTTTATTTTTGTTGGAAAACACAGTAGGTAGCCTTGGTGTTCATGCTTCATAAATTATGAACCATGTGATGCTATAGTGTATTGCAGAATTCTTTTTTGAAAGTGTAACACTATCTAGAGCAATAGGCATTTTGTTACCTCTGTACATTAGGAGCCAACTTTTAGAATTTAAGACCTTAAATAGTGAAGTGCAACGTTGTTGGAATTCCTGTCATCGATATTCTTTCTTTTGCAGGCATATGTTGGTTGTTCGAATATGTCTGTTCTTGCTTTTTTAGTGATTGTTACTGTACCTATTTCTTAATGTTGTTATATTTTGTGATATTACCAATTTAATTTATGAAAGTAGCTGGGTTATGATAAAAGCTTGTTTATACTTTATACAATCGTGATAGTCTCATGAGGGTGAATGATAAAGAAGCATACAGTGTGTTATTTTCTTTTGTTGAACTGCATGTTCTCATTCAGTTTGTTGTTTATTTTTATTTATCTCGAACACCAGGATCATCACAACTGATCAATATGATTGGAAGTTCATACCCAACGTCTGGAGGTTCAATATCCCAGAACCAAATGCAACCAGGAAACAATTCTCTAGGTTCTATGGGGATGCTACATGACGCCAGTGACAGCACTCCATTCGACATCAATGATTTTCCCCAATTGACTGGTCGACCTAATTCAGCTGGTGGTCCACAGGGACAATATGGTAAAATTGCTGGAAAATCATAAATATTTCTCCCTATTTTTGGAGGATTCTTGGCCAATCTCTCTAAATTGCAGGGTCACTACGGAAGCAAGGAGTTAGTGTTAACTCCATTGTTCAACAAAACCACGAGTTCAGTATTCAGAACGAAGATTTCCCGGCTTTGCCAGGATTTAAAGGTTGTTACAGTTGAATTAATTCTAGAACCTGTCTGTTGATTCAGTGAGATTGTTCTCATTATACTTTCGGTGCAGTGGTGCATGATTATTTAATTGTGTTACTTTGTGATCTTGAAGTTCTAATATTGGCTGCATGCCAGTTATTATACAGCCCCGCTACTCTGTACTGATTGAACCTCAGTATTTGAACAGCTTAGTTACCAACAAAATTACCCTGTCATAAAATCTTCTATCTGTTAATGCCTATTGTTTTTTTAGTCGTGTAGTAGGAATGCGGTGATCTTCTCCTCAAGTCAATGAATGCTTACTACCGTTCTATATATTGACGGGTATTTTTGTGTTCTCTACTTCTCTTGCCACCTTTCACTGACCTAACTAAAAGGTATTGCGCTCGTTCAAGCGAAATTTATAGCACACCATTTTTGTGAATACAATCATAAAGGTGGGAAGGCGAAGATGCAACAAGTTCATGAGAGGGCCAGTGGGGCAAGACCATGCAGCTGATGTGGCCTCGCGGGAATTTAGAAAATTATCTCATAAATACTAATTTGGTACTCCCTTCGTATCAAAATATAAGACGTTTTAGCCTACAAAACGTCTTATATTTTGGTGCAGAGGTAGTAAGATATACATATGCCAAATCAAGGATGCATATGTGCACCATCTATTGGCAATAATAATATACTTATTATTATTATGTGATGCTCGAACTGAAATTACCATGAATCATCATTAGAATATATGGTGGCAACCTAGAAAAAATGCGCCAAACGACATTTAGATAAAAGGGTCTCACTGCAACATGCTTACGTGCGCTGCAATTTGGATGCCTATAAGTAACAAGTAGCCCTAATTTTTGGCGAGAAATGGAAGTGTGTAGGGCAATGTAATACACAAGATGGGTATAGAGCTCGTGAATTAGTTACTTTAGGGGAAGATAATCAATTTGTCTTTCCTGCGAGAACTCGTAGAGAATTTATTGTAAGCTTCTCATATCATGACTTACGGTCATAGATGGAAGGGCATCCTAACCCATCGTGTTTTCCATAGGTCCTACTCTTCATATAAAACCTGAGCTAAATATTAGGTATGATTTGAGGCATAGCAGCATTGGGAGGTGGTTAAGCCAACTTAATCCCGGTGCTTACCATGGTTATAATTCATTTAAGCTTACCATGGCAGTAAGTTAACTATGAGACTCATGACCCACCGTGTGGACCAATATGGATCAAAAGAACGTCCTGAAAATTAGCTGCAGCATTTAATAGAGATTGCTGCCAAAGTTGCCAATTTGGCCATCCGCGCACATACATTTACTCCTCAACTTTGGTAAGCATCTCAGACTGTTTGTTTTCTTGTGCCCGCTTCGGGGCATCAAGACAGCTGTACGGATGAATACAAATAGTTGCACTTGCCCAAATGTAACTATAATGTTTTTTAATATCTTAGTACTATTGTTACAGTTTAGGCTGACGAACCATCTTCCCATAAAATGTAATTTATCATTGTTTGGTCAACTTTTGTGCTATTCTCCTTTAATGGTGCCACATGTTTTGCATGGTTTAAATCTTCTGATTTTTGGACCTATTCTTTCCATGTGCAACATGCTTATGCTTTAATGCTCCATAAACATGCACGAAACAAAATAAGACCTTGGTAGTGTTTCTTCATTCTTGAGGCTTTTTAATTCTTTCCTGAAGTAGATCTTTTGGTTGATCATTGCACTACCTTCCTTTTTCCCCATTCCGCCAAGTTATACGGAATATTGACATTTTGAATTATCAGGTAGCAGTTCAGATTATGGTATGGAGTTACATCACAAGGAACAACTTCACGAGAATGTACCTGTAATGCAAGCACAACAATATCCTGTGGGTTCATGTCTCTGAATTTTGAATTTTTGTTTCTCCGAGCATTTATTTTGACACGTTATGAACACTTACACAGATGGCAAGGTCCGTTGGGTTTAATTTAGGAAGTAGCTACCAACCAAATCGTCAGCAACATCAGCAGGGTGCTAATTCAGTAAGTTATATCGGAAATCCCTTGAAATAATCATCACACATTTAACATCTGTTGCATTGTCATGGTTCTGATATGTTTCTGTTTTGGCACGTCATATTCAGATTTACTGCTCATACTTACCCATTAACACATAGAATAATCTTCATTATGTTTGTCAGATTCAGAGTGCCGGACCCCAAAATATTGGACTAAGACCACTAAACTCTCTGAGTCAAACTTCTAGTTTGGGATCATACGAGCAACTGCTCCAGCAATACCAGCAGCCGCAGGCTCAGAGTCCTTTCGGGTTGCAGCAGATGTCTTCAGCCACACAGTCATATGGGGATCATGGTCTAAAGCCCATTCTGGGAGGCCGAATACCACCTGATCCATACGGTTTGTTAGGATTGCTGGGGGTTATAAGGATGAATGATCCTGATTTGTCATCTCTTGCTTTGGGAATAGATTTGACAACGTTGGGTTTGAATTTGAACTCACCAGACAATCTGTACAAGACATTTGGCTCTCCATTTTCAAATGAGCCAGCAAAAGGAGATCCTGAATATCCTACTCCAGCTTGTTATGTGGCCGAGCAACCCCCAGCATTACAGGTAGCCGCCAATATCTGTAGGCTATTTCTGTGTAATGAGATGTTTTAAACCCATATTCAAGAAAGGCCGAGAATCTTTCTTTGATGCAGCCGGTTCATTTTATGATAAATATATTGTAACAAGTTCTGTCTTGGTGCAGCCTATGCATTTTCAGAAATTTCAGACACTCATACTGTTTTACATATTCTACAGGTACTTTCACTACTTGAATGTATTAGGTTCGGCCATTAGTTTTGGTAAATTTTAAGGTTATGATCTTTTGTCTTTGGTTTTCAGCATGCCGAAGGATGAAGCTCAAATATGTGCTGCCAATGAACTGTGAGTGCATGGTTTCACTGGTTATCTCATTTACATATCTTATTAGATGTAATAATTGAATCGTCATGCATGCGGCTTGTTCATGTTCTGAATCTTTTACCAAGAAATATGATCTTATTGCGGTATCATTTGATAAGGGAACATACTGCTATGTCTTGATCAAACGCATAACACTAGAGAAATATTAACCTGTAACCTGTCAGATAGTGGACCAGGCCCATTGACTGTCATGGATCTATCACAAAAAATTAAGTAACCTTGTGGATTTATTCATCTTCCTGGATGAATACTAAGTCGGCAACATTTGAATGTATTCATGATCCGCTTAGCATCTACTCCCTCCGTTCCCAAATATTTGTCTTTCTAGGCATTTCAAATGGACTCAACATACGGATGCATGTAGACATAAATATGAGTGTAGATTCACTCTGCTCCGTATGTAGTCACTTGTTGAAATCTCTAGAAAGACAAGTATTTAGGAACGGAGGGAGTAAAGCTGTGTGGATGTTTCCATTTCCATTTTCTTTGTTTTCTCTATCAAATATCAATATTTTCTATTATTTATTTTTGATGATTTTTTTGCCAAGTTGCACAAGTTATGTTTAGCATTGCTGAGCATTGTTCAAACTGACTTGTAAGCTATCCATTTTTGGCAATAATATCTTGTCTTAACCCTTGCTCGTGCCTAGTGCATACATCACAACTGAGCAGAGCTTCAGCCAGTTTATTTTTTGGTATATACTAATTCTTAGATATGTAATGCATGTGTATTGTTTTCGTCAGGTATAATCGTGGATGGTTTTACCATAAAGAAGTGCGGCAATGGCTCACAAGAATTCCTAACATGGAGCCTCTCATCAAAACTCCTACATATGAACAGGGGTCTTATGCCTTCTTTCATCAACCCAATTGGGAAACAGTGCGTAAGGTACTTACATTGGGTGAATATCCAGCATCTCTTGCACACTTATTGCATATGATAGTGGAGCATGTGTGTTGCTGCAGGATAACTTTGTTCTCCATTATGAGCTAGTAGAGAAAAGGCCAAGTCTCCCTTCCACGTCCCAAATTGGTAGGTGAAATTTTGCTTGGATGGTCTTCCTGACTAAATATTTTTGGTTTTTGTTTCTGTGTATCGAGCAATCATCTCACTGTTGTATGCAATGCAATATAATTTTGTTTTTCAGTTACCTCCTGACTCTAGCTTTCTTGTACATGAATGGAGAGCCTTATTTATAAACATAGTGAAGCGACATTGCCCTAATTTGTCAAGGTAGGTACTGTCTTCTGCAGGTGAAACACTTATATTGTCGTTGGTTGAACAATGCTTTAGTTTATTTATTTACTTATTGGCAACTATTCGGAAGGAATAAATGTTCTGTGTGGCCAATTTAGGAAAGAAAATGTTTTTATTTAATTTAATAAAAGAAGCAAACACCTGTGGAGGGGGGTCCTTGAACGCGTGTGGGTGAGCATGTGACACACACACATGCTGCTAACCCACCGAGTAACTGCTGTGCTCGGTTCTCATTAGGAAAAACAATATGTTACATTGTAGTTTCCATTAAACTTGCTACTATGTGCGAAGATATGTGGCCATTTTAGGAAATATTTTTTTCTTGAACACAAAAAACTTGACCCATGGACATTATCACCAGGGCATTTATTTATTTTTAAAAGAAGTGAGCACCTGCCTAGGTGGGGTCTCGAATGCAGGTGGACGAGTGCTTGACTCGTGCTTCCAGCCAACCAAGCACTTCTGGTTCTTGGTTAGAAAGATAGTATGTTAACGTTGTAGTTTCTATTAAACTCATTCCTGAAAAGTGGGAAACCTCGAGGATCCCTGTTGCATTTATGTATTTGACAATCCCTGATACCCGTGGCTCATTTCATCAGCATGCTGTTTCTTTCAAACATGCCATGTTAACTTGGCAAAACCATTTATTTCCACTTATGTTTTGAGTGATGTTCTGCTAATAAGGATTGAATGAGTTGACTTCTTGTATTGAGACAAAATTGTAGCCGTTTCGACCTTGGGATGCAATTCGACTGATTGACTGGGTTGACGCAGGCTATATAGTGAATCAGAGAGTACCATGTCATGTCGATATGCGTAGAGGAGGCGGCTGCTGAAGGAGGAGAAAATGTCTTTGTAATTATATAGTCAGGAAAAGGATGGCACCGTCGTTAAACTTTTTGCCTAGCTTCTTGGTACATTATACGGGGAGTCTGTCTGCAATGCTCCTTGACAAACAGTTTAGGAGCAGTCAGTCAGGCTGCCTGTGTGCAACTCTGCATGCATATTTTCTCTCTTGCCTTTTGATAGATGGATCATGGAGGGTTGCTTCCTTAAATTAATTCAACGGAACAAAACAAACAAATTGGTTTATCTTCTCCGACAGTGGTAGAACTTGTTACTCGTTGGCTGTAGCAATTCTGCTTACATTTTATCGGCGCTGCCATCTTGCTCAGCCGTAATTCTGCTCAAAGGATTTTTCGAAGAAGCTATTTTCCAGCCAGGGGCATGTTGCTACGTTTAGTCAGCAGGGTTGATGGGGGTTGATATAGTGCATTTGCCGTACCGCAGGCGCTTGTGATCTCCTATTTCACAGAAAAGTCGCGGGATGGGGATGGCGGAGGTGGCGGTTGGCCGAGGGTGATGCCGGTTGCGGGGCTGGGAAGAAGGGCAGGTGTCTGGAGGTTGAAGATAAACGCGACGCATGGGATTGAGATCCGAGGGTGGCTGGAAGCCTGGAACTTTACATAGGGAACACTCCGTGATGTGTCTGTCTCTTCCGACGCATATACTCTGTCCGTTGGAATGGCAATAGGAACAGCAGCAACAGCGGCGCTCCGCGGCAACCTCCCCGCAATCCACCCAGATCTCGCCGGCGCGCACCTCCCGTTGCTCATCCACCGCAAGGGAACCACGTCATCTGCAACGCAGCTCACCTCCCACCCACGCCCGCCCTCTCCCATCGCCCCATGGCCGTGCATGCCTGCCTCAAGACAGCCTACATCCACCCTGCCCTGGGGGCTGCACCGTGCCCAACTCCCTGCATCGGGGGACACCTGCGTGGCGGTCGGGCTGTTCGACGAAATGCCTCTCTGAGACGTTGCGTTCTGCGCCTCCATGATGCGGGCGCACATCGTCCCAGGCTCTGTGCATGTTTAGGGACATGCCTGCTGGCGAGACCGGCGTGCCGGGGCAGAGCGGTGTGGTCCTCCGCGGTGCGTCGAGCTCAAGGAACTTGCTCGTGGTAAAACTAATCATAGATTCAGTCTTCTTTTCTCTGCGGGTTGTGCATCGCTTCCGGTTGTATTTCCGCTCTCTTCTCATCAGACGTTCGGGCAAACCATTTTTCCGCTCTCTTCGATCCTTCCGGTTGTATTTTTGACGCAAACCCTCCTGCTCATGGTTGTAGGAGTATTTTATATCATGGAGGAGGCAACTTTTTGTGTGCTGATCGCCATACTAGTAGTTATTATGGCGATCAGACATATACGACGCATCTGCTAGAGTTATTATGGGCTTATGGGATAGTAGTGTCGGTAATATTTCCTCATACCATTGCTTGCTAATTGCTCAATTATTTATTCCGACAAGTTGTGACCGCATATTGATTACTCCAGTGGGAGATCGGAATTCTTCCCGGAAGTAGTTTGCCCAGGGAATAGGACTAATAACTTTGACCACCATTACATCAACGTGATGGTACTGAATTTGCAAATTACAGAGAGCTTCAGAGTTTATACACTTTCAGCCAAAAAGAAATCACCATACACACTGCAGTTTCTAGCTCTTGAAGAAACAAGACAGATTTCAAGGTAACCACTCTGAAGCAAACAGACGAAAACCAAGGCCACTTGAAAGTCGAGATCTCCATACATAGAGCAGCCTCTAAGATTTCAATTTGAAATCAGGTAAAAAAAAAGAGGATTACAATTTACACAAGCGTCTTCATAACTGAATCCTTATTAACTGAACTCTACTTCTAGTTCTACAACATATTTATATACTACAAGTAGTCCATAGGCGGTCTTATTGTGCACCTATTTACATAACAGGTCACCAGACGTTCATTGTGATAACTTGATAGGTGCGATAATCGCAGTAAGCTTTACACTGAAACGACATGTGAAGATCATGTTGTGGGTGTGTGGCAAATAGCTCTTCACGTGTTCATTCCTGCTCGTCACATATTCACCACCATGGCAGCCTCAGGGGTACTGGAGCATCTCCTGCCACAACATTTCTCGGATCATGTCCACGCCGAGTTTTTCATCTATATCGAGATCGATGGGCGCCTGAGCAGGAGGGTTTGCGTCGGGATCATACAGCGTAGACATATAGGGGTGCTCCAGAGCCTCAGTGACACTGATCCTATTGGAAGGATCGAAGACCAGCATCTTCTGCAACAGATCAATGGCGAGAGGGTCCGCTTGTGGGTACATGCTAGTGAGGGGAATCCCGAGAGGGTCCGCTTGTGGGTACATGCTAGTGAGGGGAATCCCGTCGGCGTACGAAAGGGATTTGATGTACTTGCGAGCTTTCATGTTGTCAATAAACTCAAGGTCATCATCGCTCATGGTGCCAAGAACATTGACTATAAGCTTAAGCTGATTTAGGCAATCGGTTCCTGGGAAGATCGACTTGCGGCCAAGTAGCTCAGCAAAGATGCAGCCAACTGACCAGTCATCTATGGAGGTGCCATAGTTGTCGCAGCCGAGCAGCAGCTCGGGAGCTCTATACCAGCGGGTGACAACATATCCAGTCATAGACTGAACTTTAGCGTTAATTGTGCGAGCAAGACCAAAGTCACAGATCTTCAGGTCACAGTTTGCATTAACCAAGAGGTTTTCTGGTTTCAGGTCTCTATGCAGTATCCCTGCTGAATGAAGATACTTCAGCCCTCGGAGCAGCTACAGTCAAAAAAGGCGGCAGCTTAGACTATTGATTGATTCACAAATATTAGAGAAATCATAAAATGGTCGGCAGAAAAACTACAAATATCACAGTAATTACAAAGTAAAGTAATCCGTAAGACAAGTCGAGCAGGTAAGTATCGGTTAAAATGCTCGAGTCCAGGTGTATATATATACATGTAACTTTTCTTATTATTTACACACAGGCTTACGCCATATATGTTCATGCAAATACCCATGTGCAAAATAAGTTTTGTATCAAGTTGTTTTGTTTTAAGACCTATCATTCCTAAGGACACAACTACTATCCGGGTGCAGCTATAGAATCTACTATATATAGTGCCATTACAGTTACAGATACTGAAATTGACCGGTGCTTCTTCCAGAAATTAGCTGATCATTCTCTGGCAACTTAACAAGTTGGAACTTGGCAACTTAACATGTACCATGGACTAACTGCAAACTGGTATACAACTATAAAAACATTATATTATCATACAAGAACCTTTCCTGGAACAACCAAACATCATGACTCGATTAAACAAGATCTCACCAATCGCAGCACCTAGGCGTCTAGAATAGAATATATGTCCAGTTAAATAGGCAGGCATAGCTTAGATGAAGGTTGTAACATTACCAGATCTTTTGATTCATGTCGGGAGGAAGAATAGCCATGGGCATTACATCCAAATAACTCATGGGATTGACTATGTCTAGCTAAGCAAGCCCAAAGGCATTACTTCCGGATAATAACATGAGGTGTGAATGAACTAAGTTATGACATAATGGAGAACATATGAAATATTACTGGACAAGTGTCAAGCAAAAAAAAAAAAGAAGAATGAGAAAGAATGAAAAAGAAGAGGTGACTATCGCATACCTGAAATAGGAAATATTGGCAGTGGTCATTGGAAAGCGTTATACACGAGCTGATGATCTTCTGCAGATCCGTGTCCATTAGTTTGGACACCAAGTAGACATCCTTGAAGTTCCTCCTCTGTATTGGGATCATTACATCCTTCAAAGCAATGACATTCTCGTGACTCAAGTGCCGAAGGAGCTTCAGCTCGCGCAGCGTCCTGAGTGCATCCTCACGGTTGTCAAAGACATTGTTAATCTTTTTTATCGCAACCTTCTCGTTCGTATCCTTGTTCATGGACGAGCAAACTACCCCGTAAGATCCTCTTCCGATGGGCTTGATCGGCACGTACTTGGTGTCGATCTCAAACATCGTCCCGCACATTATGTAGTAATGCTTCCCACTGTTTCCCTTGCCCTTCGGAGGATCTATCATCTTCGCCATTTTATGTTTTTGTTTCTACCAAGACAAGGAAACATAGAGTTACAATTACATAACTGAGAGTGATGGAATGTAGAGTCTTTCGTGCTATCAATTGATTTTGATAGGAAATTGTAGAATCACCCCTCGCCCTCACCCTGCCGCCCCCTCCCGCCGCCACCCTAGAGCGATGCCAGGGGGATCAGATCCCGGCGCCGCTGGCGCCACAACCCACAGCGAAAGACCCTATCGCCGCTGCTGTCGGCATTGGCCGCGGTGGCGGCGGCGCCCGGTGCCAAGGCGCTAAGGCAGGAGGAGGCGGCCGCAACCCCTCGAGGCGGCTGGGGCACCTCGGACTGGGGGCTTCGCGCCGTGGCTAGGGTGGATCCCTAGCCGTGCGGCGGCAACTGACGCCCCCATGGCTGGTGGTGTTGGTGATGGTGGGCATGGCGGTGATCGCGGATCTGGATCCCACCCAGATCCATCATCGATTCTTCACGTGGATAGTCGGCGACACGATGAGATCTCCCGTGAAGGCATGGAGGATCTCCACCGCAGTACCATTGGCGGCATACGTATTTATGGCAAAGCTCCGCGTGGTTCTATCCAGCTGCGAGATTGGGACGGGGCGGTTTCTGGTGAAACCTGCGCCTGACTGCGGTCTTGACGGATGGTGGCGGTGTCTCTGACATCGTTTACTTCTCGAGGCATTGTCGTTGCAGGTCACGTCAACTCGATCGGGATGTTCCGGGGGAAACCGTATATCTAGGTCTACCGGATCGAACGATGACGACGCCTTCGGTGTCGTTCTCCCTCCTGGGGGCGTCGTTTTGGAGCAAGTGCTGGCTGGAGGGGACAAAGAGCAAGAGCGGTGCTAAATGCAGGATGCATGGTGGCGTTCTCTGACGCTGTGGTGGCATCGACGACAGCCAGGCAAGGTCGATGCGCCAGTACCTGCTCTGGAGATGGATCGTTGGAAGACGGCGGCGACGGCCTCTGAGAGTGCGCCTGATCGGTGTGTGACCCTAGTCCCGACATTGTGGCTTGGTTGGGGCATCCGGCTTTAGATGTTAGGCTTTGATGCGATGTCTGTTTGGTATTCGGCTCAGACATTCGGCACCCCTTCATCAAGTGGATAGGAGTAGCGACAAGTGTTGCCAAGATGGTGGCTTCAGGCTGATTGATGTATTACTTTGTTAAGTCTTTGTGAATAATTGATAAAATGGATGTATGCATCGTCAAGATGCAGAGACCGGGGTATATCCTCCTTTTTTGAGATTTTTTGTTGAGAATGATGGAAGCATAACCCAAAAAATGTTCACAACTTTTTTTAAGCCCTCAGCGGTGTTGCCAGGTCTAGTGTGAGCTTGACCTTTTCCATGGTAATATAGTCTCTGTTTCCATCCCAGGTTTTTATCCTCGCCCTAACTTAAGTGTGTGATACTGAATTTGTCCAATGCTCTTTTCCGAATTAGCAGAGCTACGCTTCACGAAAATAGAAGGAAAAAACGGAGGAGGTGGAGAGAATCTCCCGCTCGGTGTGCTCGGTCGGTGACTCACCTGACGAAGCAGCAGGTCTGAATAGGCCGTACGCGGTACCGCTGCACTTGGCTTGAGCCGGAGGAGTGGGAATTGGGAGGAAGACGGCGGTAGCGAGCGAAGGAACACGCGGCGGCCTGAGGAGGACCTCCCCGAGCCGCTCCTATATATGCGCTGCCGCCGCTCAGCCCACGCGGCTCCTCGGCGCCGAGATGGGAGGCGCCGCCGCTGCTTCCGGGTAAGCCGCCCACCGGCTTTCCGGCAACGCCTCGCGCGTGTGCCACTGTCACCACGGCTCGTGGTCGATCGGGCATGCATGTGTGCGTGCGTGGCCGGCGCTGAACGGGGCCACGAGGCGCGCTGCTCCTGGCGGGAGATTTTTTTTCTTTTTGAAAGATCATCCTGCTGGCGGGAGATGAAAACGTGGTCGGGTTGCTTTCCCATCATGCACAAGCGCGTGCCGTACGGAGGAGTGACGAGGGGGGGCCATGGTTTCCGCGTGTCACGCGAGTCGGGCGGATGACGGTGTGCTACGCGTTTGTCGGGTGATAACTTTCAGTTATCCGCCGTCCTCCCAGGCGTCACAATCCGGCGGCGCAGCATTCCCTCGCATCCAAAGCATCACAACACCGCAGATGTTCCAGAAACATCGAGGACGTTCCGATCCTCCCCCCTCCCCTCCCCCGCTTTCAAAAAACAACGTCGCCGCAATACTGGCCGTGTTTTGGAAACACGGGGGACATTGAAAACTCAGCAAGCTTGCAACACCCGCTCCCGACACACCGGCGATGTTTCAGAAATGTTGGTGATGTTGCAATCCGGCGACCTGCAACAATGGGACGTTACAACCCGGGCCGAGCACATACCGACAAAGCCCTGGCGAACTCCACTGCAACACTGGCACACACCTCCCGTTGCAACGCCGATGGTTTTCACCTGCATCGGTGGTCGTCACTTGCAACGCCGACGCTCTTTGCAGGGCATGTCTGAGCGGTGGCCGGCCTTTGACTTTGCACCAGTGGGGAGTGGTGGCAGCGGAGCCTTTGCAGCGCGATACTCGTAGCAGAGCTCTGGCAGTGGAGACGGGTGAAGCAGGCATCAACGGTGATGGGGGCGGCGCCAAAACATTCGGCGGCGAGCGATAGGTGAGAAAGCCGGAGAAAAACATGGGAAAGAACAAGTTTTAGAGATACACCATGTGGACAAGCTTCGTTTGAAAGAGATAAGGCCACCACATGGTTGGTAGGCCTGCATGGGATATGCGTCACATAGAAGAGACAACTAATGAAGCCCCATGATCAGCCGACTGTTTGGGGCTCATCCTATGATTACAACATGACCCGTGTTGCGATTGCAACATGGACCATGTTGCAAACCCAGGCTGAGCTCCCACATGGACACGTGCGCGAGACGATGGATGACGTGGCAAAAATCAGTCAGTTGAGCACTAGGATTTTTCATTATATATTTATGATCATTGGAAATCAGTCAGTTGAGCCCTTATCTGTTTTGCTTTGGCGATGGATGAGGTCACAAGGGATATGCAAGAAGATATCTCATGGCGTATGATGTTCGCGGATGATGTGGTGCTAATCGATGATAGTCGAACGAAGTTAGTAGAAAGTTAGAGCTATGGAGACAAACCTTGAAATCTAAAGGTTTTAGTCTTAGTAGAACTAAAACAAGTACAAGAGGTGAGGCTACAGTACTACTAGGCGTGAAGAGGAGGATGTTAGCTTTGATGGGCAGGTGGTGCCTCAGCAGGATATCAATGAAGATATGAACCATCGAATCAAAGTCAGATGGATGAAGTGGCGCAAAGCTTCTGACGTTCTCGGTGATAAGAGAGTGCCACAAAAGCTAAAAGGCACGTTCTATAGGACATCGATCGACCCGCAATATTGTATGGCATTGAGTGTTGGCCGACTAAAAGCCGACATGTTCAACAGTTAGGTGTAGAGGAGAGAGATGGATGTGAGGTCACACAAGGAAGGACCAGGCCAGGAATGATGATATACATGATACAGTTGGGGTAGCATCGATTGAAGAGAAGCTTGTTCAACATCGTCTGAGATGAATTGGGCATATTCGGCACAGACCTCCAGAAACTTCAGAGCGTAGCGGACGGCTAAAGTGTGCTGATAATGTCAAGAGATATCGAGGTAGACCAAACTTGACATGTGAGGAGTTCGTAAATAGAGATCTGAAGGACCTGAGTAAGAACTAGTCATGTACTAGGATGCGTGGAAGCTAGCTATCCATGTACTAGAACCAGTTGCGATATCTTATGGATTTCAGCTCTAGCCTATCCCAATTTGTTTGGGACTAAATACTTTATTGTTGTTGTTGGCTTTTACGAAAAAGGATGCATGTTAGTGGCTTAAAATGAAACATCAAGGATACAAAACATAATGAGCATATGCCATGGTCTCTTTATGACTACCGTGCACATAAGCAAAAATAAGGCACACATACACAAATTATCAGGCAGGAGCAATCATATAAGATTCAAGCTATATATGCGTAGGTGAAAAATAGAACTCCAAAACGATCAAAATAGTGATTGATAAACAACAACAATGACTATCCGCATCAACCATCTCTTGACATCACAAGAACAACGAGAAAGCTACTCTAACAATATTTCTATAAGGGAACAATGCTCAAGCTCTACCATCGGCGAATCCAACCACCGAAGGCCAGATCCTGAGTTTTCACCCTGAAGCTTAGATCTGCGCAATGCCCTCAACAAGGTAACGACGGAAAAACACTGATACTCTCAAGTATAACAAGTTAGGATCATACCTACGGTTTTTACCCTAAAACTTAAGACTGGGTACTCAAGAAAGCACCACGAAATCAAAGTCATACATGTGTTGTTATCACCACTTTCCACGCTCCGACCAACTACATATGTAGCATAGTCTTGTGAGATGTCACGTGGGTGAAAACAGCTTGCACAAGCAGATAGCCAAGACGCCACAAGTGCTGGTGGCCACCAAAACTTGCGAATGATGAAGGTCGTCGTCACACATCCAATGAAGTTTAACGAGGGAGGAAGGTCAATGTCGAAGGTTGTAGTCATAGATGCGATGAAGATTGACGAAGGAGGAAGGTCACTAGCACTGCCAAAATCCAAATTTGGAATGCTCCGTCAATCTCGCACCATTCTTTTGCTCTATCATCCTCGCCAACAACGAAAGAATCAGTCGCCCAGCATACTCGCGAATATACAACATAACCAGTGTAATGCTTCATCCACGGTTGACACCCGGTTATCACTTGGGATCTACATTGGCCTCACAGACCTACATTGATAGTGAGATTGCCTGAATTTCTTATATTCGTGCATCCTTCAAAACATCCTCCAATAGTTCACAAGCTTTTTTCGTAGCATTTTTCTTGCAACTTGAGGAGTCGCTTGTGGTATTTATGGGGAAGTGGAGATTCAAAACATGGCAAAATTGAAGGACACATGCATTCTT